GGCAGTGGGAGCAGGATGATAAATCCATGTTCTCAGAAAACTATTATGGTGTGCCCTCCAATAACGCAGGTCCACGAGTCAATGTGAGTGGAGACATTATAAACCCAAACGACTGGAACACAATATGTGATGTAACATACCAGAATCGGGACGTGACTTGTGAGACTGCATGGAAACCTTGCAACCCAGCCAATGATTTAGAAGAACGACGGCCTCTTCAGAGGGGAGGCTCTTCGGCATATCTCCCTAATGTAGTGGAAGTGATGATAGCCATTGCTGCTCCTTCCTACGATGCAGCTGATGACAGTGGACAATATTTTAGGAACGATTCTAGAGCAAGTTTCCGAAGCAGATTGGAAGGATGGAATATGATATGCTCAGCAATGAGTTGCGTCGGATTTAATAGTGATAACAACCATACACAAAACGATCACATGCACAACGTCGTTCATGACTGGGTGGGGGGTCAAATGGATGACGTGCCTGCTGCTGTGAATGATCCAGTTTTCAATCTTCATCACTCTAATGTGGATAGAATTTTGGAGAGTTGGATGCAGCGCTTTGCAAATGGAAAAAACTCCTCCAACCTCCTTCCTGCTTATGTGCCAATTTGTGGCGGACATCCCGGGCACAACCGTGGTGACTATATAGTGCCTTTCTTTCCATTAATTACAGCAGGAGAGCAGTACCGCGTTGCAGAAGAATGGGGGTATGTGTATGATGAGCTTGTTCCGGCGAATATTAAAGATAGTGATATACCCGACTGTATTGACATTCTCGCAGAAAACTCCTGTCCTATATGTGATGCCAATGGTGTCTGCATTGACTGTACTGATCAAACTTGTCCTCTCCCCAACTCCCAACCAATACCTCTCACCCCTGATTCTCCTGATGGCAACAATTCATATGCTACTGAACTAGGCCTGGGAATTGGCCTAGGAATCCCACTTATAATTGCAATAATTGTCATCATCATCCTCCTCTGTTGTGTCATCGCACTAAAAAAGAAGTCAACAAAGGAGGGAAATGGAGGAGGGTATGAAATGACAACGAAAACATAGAACAAAGATTGAGTCTTTAATTCTTTAATAGAACATTGATACTAGCTAGCTTCTTACTAACTAGCTCTTATACATACTATTATTCCTTGTTCGTTATTTACAGTTGTATATAGCTAAAGCGGATCGCGTTAATTATGTTAGTTTTTAAACTTTGACGCCAAGTGCCCATCAAACAACATGTGCTGTGCTTCTGTGACACTTCTTTTACGTGGAGTTTTGGAACACAAGGCAGAGTTACCTGGGTTATCTGTGCAGTTACCAGTGGAAGTATATATATAAGAGCTACTGTATGTGTTGTGGACACAGAAATGTAGCAGAAAGCGTAGCTCCATTTTTAATGCTCAACGAAAACGTAGAACAAAGGTTGAGTCTTTAATTTTTAGAACATTGATACTCGGTAGCTCTTATATGTACTATTATTCCTTGTTCCTTAATGTACAGTTGTAGCTATAGCAGATCACGTTAATTATGTTAGTTTTTAAACTACGACGCCAGGTGCCCATCAAACAACATGTGCATTGCTTCTGTGACACTTGTTTTACGTGGAGTTTTGGAACACAAGGCCGAGAGTTACCTGGGTTTTCTGTGGTTACCAGTGGAAAGTATATAAGAGCTACTGTATGTGCGGAAAGTATAGCTACATTTTTTATGCTCAATTTTCACGTCTGACTTTGGACACTGTCAATGAGCATTCCTTGGGAGACGGTTTAACATTGTCAACTAAAAGTGTATTGTGCCCCTAAACCCTGAAGAAAGAGATTAGCAACTGTCCTTATGCTTATACACAAAGATTCTCCATGCAACCTAGCTTAATCATGTGATACCCAAGACCTAAATAATGATAATAGCTATATACCTGTTTTTCATGCCTGTGTGTCAACATAGCTGCATTACTCTATACACACATTCTAGGAATCGCCTTCCATATCTCTCATTCTTGTTTGCAACTCAAATTTCATAATTTCTGAGTTCGATCCTTGACATAAGTACTTTTATTGTTCTCTCTATACACGACCTCTGTTGACAAAAGTAGCTCTAGCTACTCACACTTTACAAGAGGTGCAACGGTATAGGGAGCGCTAGATGTATTATAATGAATTCAGCTGTGAACTGTATATATATGAAATGCTAGCATTCTCAAACAAGTACAACCAGGTAGTCCATTGGTAAGGACCAACAATGCTCATATGAATGCATCAGTGTTGCACTGAACAAATAATTATTATGGTGGCCTCGCCATTGCTGAAGATCTCGACAGGAACTACTTACTCAATGCAGTGTTCTGCACACTCCTCGCTACTATTAGCTTACGCTACTCTTCCGAGAATAATCAGATCTACGCTTGCCTTCATGCAAACTAGAGTATGCAAGGAATTAAATTTTACTCTAAGCAAACCCTCCTCCAACAGCATTGTCCCTTAGAGCAGGGCCCCCTGCTATACATGCTCATGTTTCTCCAACCTTGACAGCCATACACTGTATATAGATGACACCTGACATGTACTGCACTTTGAGTAGTTTTATGTGTGGCCATTTAGACATAAAACAATAATATGTTAATTGACAACACAAAATAACAGTTATGTCAGCATTACATGCTCTTCCTTGCCCTTACACCCCCAATAACTCGAAAAAAACCTGTTATTGCAAAACTTCTATATCCATTTTTATCAGGATAACAATAAACAAAGATGCGCAGACAGTTTTCTGTATAGAAAAGTATTATGCAACTCCAATCTCTTTGTATGTAGCATTGTTGTGTACATAAGCTTTGAGGTCTGGAGTTTCCTTCATCTAAATTAGCTATAGTATGTGAGGAATGGAATTTTACTCTAAGCAAACCCTCCTCCAACAGCAATGGCCCTTACAGCAGGGGCCCCTGCTGTACTTACGTTTTTGTAAACGTAACAACCCAACTCTGTATTATAGATGACACCTGACATGCATATACTGCACTATTACTATGATGATACAAATGCAACATAATGAATGATTTTAAACTTCAGAATTATGGGCATTATTCACCGATCCTCTAATGCATCCCCCATGCCCTTACACCCACGTATCAGGAGTCAGTAAAATAGCACAATTCAGAAAAAAGGTAGGTTTTGCTCATCAATATTACTCCATCACTTTTTGGATAGTGGGTGCTTGACTACATTACATTTGTGCTCCTAAGATTATTCCTGGGCAGGCAACACCTTGAATAATTCCTTAACGTACGCTTAGAAAGGTATAATAATATACAACCAAGTATCTACTATTAGTCCAGTGGCAAGAAGGGAACTGACAATGCATCAGTTTCACTCTGACAAATGTGGTTGGTATGCAATTGCTGAATAAACCGACAGGCACTACTTACTGCACACTCATGGCTACTATCAGCTTATGCGACTATTCCCAGAATAATCTGATATGGAGTTTCCTTCATGCCTCCAGGAACGGAATTTTACTCTAAGCAAACCCACCTCAACAGAACTGGGCACTCCTCGCTACTATCAGTTTATGCTACCATCAATTCTTGAGTTTTGTTCATGCAAAAAGGAAGTTTATATACTCTAAGCAAACCCTCCTCCAATAGCACTGGCCCTTACAGCAGGGGCCCCTGCTATGATTCTGTTTTTCCAACAGTAACAGCCACACACTGTAGAAGAAACCTGACGCGTACTGTACTATCGTTTTAGACTTTTACGGCAAGTGACGATGCATAATAACAGTATGTTGGCATTGCATCCCCCATGCCCTTACACCCCTATTTTTGGGCTCTGTATTGCATCAGTAAAAATTCTGAAAACAGGCTTTGCTCACCAATATTACTCCGTAGCTTTTTGGATAGTGGGTGCATTCCAACAATAATCAAATCTTGAGCTTCCTTCATGCAAAGAGGAATTTTACTCCAAGCAAACCCTCCTCCAACAGCACTGGCCCTCACAGCAGGGGCCCCTGCTATGATTCTGCTTTTCCAACAGAAACAGCCACACACTGTAGAAGAACTATTACTATAATGATACAAGATGTCATTTTACATTACGGCAAGTAACGATGCATAATAACAGCATGTTGGCATTTCATCCCCCATGCCCTTGAGTTGTCTATTGCATTAGTAAAAAGAGCTAAATTCTGAAAACAATGTAGGCTTTGCTCACTCCGTAGCGTTATGGATAGTGGGTGCTACATTTCGTTTGTGCCCCTAAACATTCCTGGCCGGGCAACCTTAAATCATCCCTTAACGTTGAATAGTCTCACACTCTATCTGAAACCTCTACTGTATGTAGGGAATTTGAGGTGCGTAGCTATACGTGATAAGCTGTGTATAGAAATCATTATTTATAGTTGGGATTCCCAGAAGATGGAGGTTCACGATATTCTAAGCATTATTTCTCAATATCCACCATTCAACCTAGCTACTCTTCTGCCATCTGTATCAGTGTGTTAATAGGGGTCAGCGACATTACGAACACCAACATTGGAAATACTGCTGACTCAGCTACTGCAAACTTTACGCTACTATCAACTTATGCTACTACTCGAGAATAGTCAGATTTGTGTCAAAAGGTATGTGTGGAATGGGAATTTACTCTAAGCAAACCCTCCTCCAACAGCAATGCCCCTTCCCCCCCACCGCTATGCTCAACTGAACAGCACTTATTTCCTAATGCCACTCTATCTGAGAACTATGACAGACACATGTACTCAGCTGCATGTCTGCTTTGTGTACACAACAGACACTGCGGCATGAAATGTAGCTACAGCTGTTGGTAAATCACTTCCCTTGCTAAAAAATGGGTCGCATTCGTATAATGTAATTCATATTCAGACTTTCATGACTCTACTAATAGTAAGTCAGTTGTTATGGGCAGAGGCATCAATAAGCGTTAGCTATGTCGACACACATAGCATGCAGAATAGTTGGCACGATTCACTGACCGTAACACAATCTGAGGTGCGATGCACAATTTCATGTGCTCAGCAATAATACAGGCAGCACTTAATCCATGGTGAAATTAATAATAACACACACTTAGTCTGGTCCAAGGTCTCTCGTATTACACTAAACAATCCAAAATAGCTACCAAATCAAAGAGATTTCTTTATTACTTCAACCTTGATACAGGCCAACTCTGCATTTTCCATGTTTCTCAAAACAGCGTAGAGTGTGTAGTCTCCCTGTGAACATGAATTAAACCAGAATTTCAAACACAAAATCACCCATCCTAATTTGGACTTCTAATTAACACACAGTATGTTTCCATGATGCTGTAGCAATGATTGAGCTAATGAAATTTCAACTACCACCTTCAAGGCCAGAGGTACAGTATGTATATGTTATTACACCTTTTGGAGTGGTGTTGCTGGTTTATCCGCCCGACTCCCCGAGGGCGCGTAGCGCCCGAGGGGGGAGGGCGGACAAACCGCAACACCACGACAAAAGGTGTAATAAAATGTCTATTACCGCTGATTGGTCGTTGGTGGTGAAACCCCACGCGAAAATGGCGCATCCACCCAAATAAGGCGATGCGCGTGAACCTGCGCATGCATAACGTGCCGTTATCGTATGCGCGCTCCAGGCAAACACGATCGACGCTAACTGGTCGATCGAGGGAGCCATTGAGGGAGCGAATGGCAGAGGCTTTCCGTTTGAAAGTCGAGGGTTGGGATCTCGCTGACAAGGAAGAGGGCTACGTGCACTACTTCCGCAGCTACAGAGAGGTTTGAATTTTTAGATGATGCAAAGAGCGAGGCTCTCAGCAACAAGTTTGTGCCTACGCCTTTTCTATGCCGACGGCCCGTCCCCATGAGCGCAACTCTCGGACGCGGAGCCTTGCAGCGACGTCTCAGAATCCCAACCCTCGACTTCCAAACGGAAAGCCTCTGCCATTCGCTCCCTCGATCTGTCAGCGTGGACATAAGACATTGATACCCAACCCTAACCACAGTGGATATTCACACCATTCCTTAGTTATTCACCCTAACCACAGTGGATATTCTCACCTTCTCACCCTCTTGGAGTGGATATTCTCACCTTCTCACCCTCTTGGATCGGTAGCTGATTTATTGTGCTAAAATAAACATAGCAACGACCTAGCAACGGGTAATAATCTAATCTAGCCCCCCAAGCTTAGACAGCAGAGTGTGGTACGTTGAATTTCAGGTTGTCTTTGTTGTGTTGTATTGTGTCGTAGATATGTACCCCTAGCAGCTGAGTTTCCCTCAGAGCTCAGAAGGTATATAGAGTGCTTGCCTAGACTACAGTTCGAATCACATCATGGGCAGCTCCATTTTTCCTTAGAAAAACAGGAGTTGTCCTGGGTGTATATAGTTCATTTGTTTGACTTTGCTTTGGTTTGACCTCGTTGTTAATACATGTCTGTAAAGTCCCATATCTTAATGATCGGAAAGCGTACTTTTCCCAAAGGTATATGCAAGTTCTAAGCTGAAACAACCATGTCAATATAAACAGTGGTGTTTATAGCTACCACTTTTGCCAGTGTGTACATACACGTAACAGGAGGGTGCAATGTATATATACACTGAATGTGTGCTGTTGGCATGAAATTACCATGATGTCATACAAAATGCTTCACTGAGAACGACAACACTGCTTCTAGACACGGAAGCTCTTGAAGCAAATGTCGGCAGCAAATAAAAGACAGCAGTCTTGCGTATTATTAATTATCCCCAATAGGCAAGCCGGCAAGTTTTGATGAACCAAACTAATTCCCAGGCTCTCGTATCATGACTTCGTGAGTATAACATACAATTGCTCCCTCCAGCATGGTTAACTACAACATATTCCTATTTTGTTCACTCAGTAAAAGCTGCTGATAGCTACAGAAGAACAATCTCACCGGATGGAAGTACGGCTCAATAGGATTAGAGAGAGCAAATGTCCCGTTTCCTTTCTCCAGTGGGCACTTGAATATTTTGCAGAGAGAAATTGTGTTGAAATACGATGGCACAACACCATATGTAACGTTGACTGAGACATTTCCATTAACAACCCTTTTTCCTGGAAAAATAAAGAGAAGTAGCTAACTACAGGTTTCAGCATGACAGATGTACTTCTTACCAAGACTGTATGAAACATTGAAATCCCCAGTGTTCTTGGAGAGATTAACTTTCAGTATCTTCATTGCATCGTCCTTCCCAGCTAAATAACAAAGTCAAAGCCGCGTAGCTAGTTAGCTAAACCTAAACGCTTCCAAAACCCGGGGAAATTAATCAACCATATAGCTAGCTATGATAAAGACTGTGTGTGGACTATCGGACTCACAGCAGTCCTTCCAGGACCAGCTATCAGTTTTGCAGGGACACAGCGCGAACATGGCCATGAGGCAGAGGCAGACAAGCAGAACATTAACACCCATTGTGTCTGACGAGGGTAATCTCAGGATCAGAATAGTCCGACGGCCGAAGCGATGGAGGGGTTGTCTTTGGCAGACCTGGTTGATTAAACCCCGAATATCTTGAGGCACGACAATCACGCACTGCGCGTGCGCGGGCTAAGGAGCTAAGGAATTTAAAGCATGCAACTAAGAATAATTTATCACGTGATGTAGTTGGGTTTGTCTGTGTGTGTGTGTGTCTGTTACTCTACATCTCACCTCTCGAATGTCTGTTCGTCCCAGAAACGATACCATCTACCCAACGGGCGACGAAGGTCAGAAAATATGTGGAGTTTTCTCTGAAAATGCTTCGTTGCAGAGCTAGAGCGCTTCCAGCATTGTATGGCTAATGCCGGTAGTCGCCATTTTATCGCTGGCAGATAATGCGCATGCGCTTATATTTAGCAGGCTTACCTCGACCGGGTCCGCTTGCTCTGTCTATCTTGAAGGCACAAGAAGTCACAACGAATGGCGTGTATCGACTCTCGCGTGCTATCTACTACTGTAGCTAGCCCGTGTCAGACTCTCTACGAGCTACTTCGCCGAGGGTTTGCACTTTAGTGCTTTTCATTGGGTCTGTCTGTCCGTCTGTTTGTCTGTTTGTCTGTTAGTCTACATCTCACTCCTCGAACGTCTGTTCGTCCCAGAAACGATACCCTCTACCCAACGGGTGACGAAGGTCAGAAAATAAAGACGGTTTTCTCTGAAAATGCTCCGTTGCAAAGCCAGAGCAGGAAAAAGCCAATATGCAAATACGCAACGGACGGGATGGGTCTGATCGATCAGCGTGCTCTGCGACCTCGGAGGCACCAGAAGATGCAACGCAGGGCGTGTATCGCCTCTCGCATGCTGTCTAGTAGTGTAGTTAGCCCGCGTCAGACTCTGCGCGAGATGGCTAGAGACCAGGAGTAACAGCCAGAACTAAACCCGGCCCATCAATTAGTGATACAGCGCATGCGTTTACTCACGCGTGCGCGTCACAATGCGCCGAGGGTTTGCACTTCAGTGCTTTTCATTGATAATAGCGTCCGTGAACATCAAGGTGCTGCAGAACTGTTCTGCAGAAGAAATAGCTGCTGTGTTCATCCCAAGAGAGGTTGAACTAGGGTGGACACCTGGGGCTCTTGATCATGTAAGTGTAATAGTGGCCGATATACCGATCGAACCTCACAGCTTAGGTTTCACAAATTGATCAACCATACGACAGAAAATGACGGTACTTATATACCCAGTGACCACGTGGAACACACACAGTTAACATTCGAGAACAGTCACGCTTACTGCACCTAGTGATTGCATAACCATACATACAGCATACTACAGTACTCTGTTAGCTACATAGCTTCTTTTCCACTGATGAGTCGGGTTTTTTGCGGGAGAAATAGACGGGAATGTTATAAGCTGTCTTTCTGTCATGAAATAATTATGCTGAAGATTATTCCTTCATAGGTCAGTACATTGTAGACAAACCC